CAACTTAATAATTAACGATGATTGAAGAATAAAATTTCCATCAGAATAAAAATAAAAAAAAAGAATAGGAAAACATACTTTATGAAAAATTATTTAGATCTTCTGAAAATACACTATTTTATATACAATATCTAACAAAAATGACATATTGGCCATTTTTACCATTTTGACAATTCTAGTGTTATAATACTCTACTGTACATAAATTATTGCAATTGCAAAAAAGTCGTCTATTTATTATAAATCAATATATTTGCAAAAAAAAATACTTTATGAAAAATTATTTAGATCTTCTGAAAATATACTGTTTTATATATAATATCTAACAAAAATGACATATTGGCCATTTTTACCATTTTGATAATTCTAGTGTTATAATACTCTACTGTACATAAATTATTGCAATTGCAAAAAAGTCGTCTATTTATTATAAATCAATATATTTGCAAAAAAAATACTTTATGAAAAATCATTTAGATCCTCTGAAAATACACTGTTTTATACATAATACCTAATAAAAATGATATATTGGCCATTTTTACCGTTTTGACAATTCTAGTGTTATAATACTCTACTGTACATAAATTATTGCAATTGCAAAAAAGTCGTCTATTTATTATAAATCAATATATTTGCAAAAAAATATACTTTATGAAAAATCATTTAGATCCTCTGAAAATACATTGTTTTATATATAATACCTAATATAAAAATGATATATTGGCCATTTTTACCATTTTGACAATTCTAGTGTTATAATACTCTACTGTACATAAATTATTGCAATTGCAAAAAAGTCGTCTATTTATTATAAATCAATATATTTGCAAAAAAAATACTTTATGAAAAATCATTTAGATCCTCTGAAAATACACTGTTTTATACATAATACCTAATAAAAATGATATATTGGCCATTTTTACCATTTTGATAATTCTAGTGTCATAATATTCTACTGTAATTATTGCAATCGCAAAAGACAAAGTCGTCTATTTATTATAAATCAATATATTTGCAAAAAAATATACTTTATGAAAAATCATTTAGATCCTCTGAAAATACATTGTTTTATATATAATACCTAATATAAAAATGATATATTGGCCATTTTTACCATTTTGACAATTCTAGTGTTATAATACTCTACTGTACATAAATTATTGCAATCGCAAAAGACAAAATCGTCTATTTATTATGAATCAATATATTTGCACGTACCAATCGAAATGGCACTTCTCGGTCCGATTTATAATTCGAAAATTTACCGAAGAGCTTGACAATTACAAAGTTTCGTCTGATTAACTAACGGTAGAACCATCAGCTGTGATTGAAATAGAAATGAAATTTCCACCAGAACAAAAAAAAAAAAAAAAAAAAAAAAGAAAAACATTATAGTACAACAAAGCCTTCATTTACACGTTTTAGGAAAAATCATTAAGTCTCTAAAAATACACTGTGCCATAAGATATCTAGCAAAAACTACAGCTCGATCATTTCGACCATTTTGTTTTGGTGGTTCCAGTTGGTTAAACGGATCGATCAGCCGTTTATCGCTCGAAGGGCTGAAAGGCAGGCGGGAAGGGGGATGATAAAGAAGCGGAAAGAAAGAAAGAAGATTCAGACTCACGTTGGTGGTGTACCGTTTTGGCCGCTGCTCAGTTCCGTGATGTGCATCGCCTGCAGAGTTTGCATAGCCGCGCATATCTTGCGATTCCGGCACTCCTCGTAGAAAACAAGGCTGAACCCGTAAGTTCTGTGCCCGTCCTCCTTCGTCAGTACGAACGAGTGGAACGTCGGCTCCACCGAGTGTTTCTGGGTACGGAATTTCAGGCCGCTCGGCAGGCAGAGCTGCAAGATTGAATATCTAATGAAACAGACGTTGCACACAACGCCTTTTCATTTCTTCCTACTCTGTACGCTTCTTCCCTACTTCGCATTTCCTTCCACTCTCTTTTCTATCTTCTCTCTGTCTGTCTGTTCGCAACTGGGACGCGTGTACACGTAGCTTACCAACCTGTGCATTATGCATGTGTGTGCAACTATTAGAAGAGTATTTTTCACGTCCTAGTAATTCTGTTAGAGCTGATGGTCGAAAAGTACCGGTGCCTTTTTCTCTCTTTCTCTTCACGCCGAGGGTGTTTTTCGAGAGAAGCCGCTACGAGTAACAGGGGTAGACAAATGAAGACGAGAGTGGCGTGTTTCTGGCGCACTACCGAGCTTTTCAAGATCATTGTTGCACGAATAAACATTAAACTCTCGACGGAGAGGGGGGAGGGGGTTAGTGTAAAATGTACAAAAAAAAAAAAAAAAAAAATAGTGTACGTATCTTTTAGGTATTGAAAAAAAAATGGTAAACGTATCGTTACTATAAACGTAGGATATTTCGCAATTTTAATCTCTCAGTTCGCCTCTGTTTCCTTTTCTATCAGCAGTATTTCCAACGGAAACTCGCGCGTAAAGTGTCGAGTTTCTATGACGTTTTACATCAATACTTACAAATAGGTGACTATAAAAACAAAAAAAAAAAAAAAAAAAAAAAAACTGCATTCTGATATTTCTGAAAATTTTTTTGGCAACGTACCATGCAGACAGCGTGCTCGTCGAAGGGGTTCCATGGTACCGAGTCAGGATAATGTCCCAAAACTTTGCTCTTATACGCTCGGTCCAGAGGTGTACATTGCAACGAGTCGCCTGAAACGAACGGTAATAACAGTTTGTTAGCTTGCTGAATTAAATTTGAAACTCTGCTTCTTGCGCGACAAAGAATTAAAAATGTTTTTCTTTTCCAAAGGAACATTCACGCGTCAGAGGTCAATTAAATGTACATGTTGAGCGTGCATTGTCTTCAGGGAAGTCAGAAACGTGACATTTATAATCGCAGACAACACTTTGCCTCGCAAATGATGAACTGTAATGCTTGTTAACGATAAGTGGAGACCGTGACCTTTTAACCAAATACTTAAGCACGCTCTTCGTGTGATATAAAGGCCTGACTTTTTAATCGATCTTCAAGGTGAGGGGGGACTTCTTTCTGAGTCTAAACAAGATAAAAGCTGCACTCGATACCACCAAAATTCGTTCGAAACGAAATTTCGTTCTTTCAGAGTATTAAAAATTATTTCTCGGGTAAATAATTATATGACCGTGATCTTCCCATGTTGAACAATGAAGAATATTCCGCTGCACCGTTCCTACGAGGTAACAAGATAGTTCCGCGAGTTTGTTATCGCGTGTTGCATTGCGCAGAACGGAATCACTGCGATCCGATTCGTCTGATCTGCGAATCTCGTTGCGATACGTAACGTCCTGTCGAAAGCAAGCAAAGTAAACGATACTTTCGAATTTGCAGCGTTGAACCTTTGCACCCTCGATCGATGCCTCAAATTTCCTAACACTTTCGATGTCGATCATTCAACGAGAAGAAACACAGAATGAATGAAGCCATCATCGCAGCCATGGTTCAAATTCCTGGCATCACGAGGGACGTTCTATATACGAGGACAGTGATACGCTGTTACTTTGAAGCAAAGGGGAGATTGCATGTTTAAAAAAAAAAAAAAAAAAAAAAGTTTTTAGCACGACTGCATTTACTTCAGTTTGCACATTGTTCTTAGTCCAGCACGACCTAAGTGCATCTTAGAAGCTGCGATTCTTACACTGAGAAAAAAAATGCGAGAGAAAGAAAGAGAGAGAGAGAGAGAGAGAGTTCTCCTTTCATGAGAAAAATTAGAATCTCTCTCAACGGCAACGTCGGCAACTTGTTATTGAACGTGGTACATATCCCAGAGCAGCTCGACCTGAATGAGACTGTTGAAAGTCTTGGCTGTGTTCCAGTTGCTTGGCGCGCGACGAACACAACAGCAACCCTTGTACAGGGTTAATCGTTCATGATCGAACAGCCACCCAAGGAGGCGATGGGACGTATGTGATGTGGGCTGATCGAGCGAGAATTTGATTACACAGGGTGTATAATTGGCGACCCTTTTCTATGCATTGAGTACAATTTTTTTTTTTTCTTTATACCTATGGTATCTTGGCGACTTGTGAACGAGGCACTAATCTATCATGTAGAATTGTATATGATCTTCTATATTTCATATACCATATCTCAAAGTATGAAAATATTTATAAAGCAAAGAGAAGCAAATATAAATGACGACCCACTGAGTGCAATATTTTTATGTCTCTGTAGCATCTTGATCATTCGTGAACGAGGCATTGATCTTCCTGTATTTTATAAAGTAAATACAATACCATATCTCAAAGTAGGAAAATATCTGAGATGAAGAGAATCAAATATA